GACTAATTGTAGTTTGCTTTTTGCCACCGTATACCTAAACATATCTAATTACTTAATTCATTTATATTATACTAGCTGGGCCCGCGGTTCCCTACGCGTGAAATTTATAGCCTATATGTCATTCTAATGTATAAGCTATATTATTGTAAAGTTTCATCAGAATCCGTTCAGCAGTTTTTGCGTGAAAGCGTAACAAACATCCATACATACTCACAATTTTTTGTGTTTATAATATTAATAACATTGTTTAATTCCGTTAGCATTAACATACGTGAGACCACAAACATTCAGTTCATCGACGAAACTATATATAATTTAGAAATATCTGAATTTTAAATGTATTTAATATATTTATATACTAGCTACTCGCCCTGGCTTCGCCCCGGTGTACATATATTAAACATATAAACATTCCTCTTAGATCACTCTGTTAAAAAATCGCTTCAAAATTCGTTACCCTAGTTTTAAAAATTTAAGCATACATATAAGTATGCTTCAATTTTTTTGTATCGTCTTTAAGTCATACGTAAGTATCGTCTTTAAGTATGCTTTAATTATTCGGATGGACAGGCAGTGACTACTCAAAAATGACTTCGTAAAAAATCTACTCTGATATAAATAGTAATAAATAATAATAATGATATAAATTAGTTGAAAACCAAGAAACAAATTAAACTCGTAATTAGATTATAATGTTTAGACAATTATCGGAAGATGTGTCTAACTCTATAATTTCTGCTATTAGAGATAATTCGTGTGTAACTAAGGAATTGGATTGTATACCTACCTACCTATACATTATATTCAATATTTGATTGAAGCCGCTTAGTTTCTGTCTTATTCTCATGAGCCTTGCTTATTAAATAAATCATAACATTGTATTCAATTAGGGTTGTCAATTAATTATAGTACATAGAATATGCTTTATTTGCATTATACAATGCTAAAAGATAGGTACAAATAATTAGTAAACTAAACATGTGTGTACGAATACAACATATTAATTACTTGTTTGTTTGTTTGTTTAATTCTATCTACCGTTTTCATTATTATCATCGTCTTACTATCTTAATACCATTAAAAACCTTCTAATGGTTTCTTTTTAATACAGTAGTTACGATATACAGATATCATATATTTTAGGACTGAAATATAATTTATGGTTTTGATTAAAAAGTTTTTACAAATTTTATAGGAACATTTCCGATAAAAGACATTTTGTTGATGGCGAATTTTCTTACAACTTGGTTTCCACTATTAAAAATTTGGTAGGAATTTATATTTTATTATATTATTCAATATTGCTGTATTGCAAAGAGATAATATAATACTCTAATAGTGAAAGAATTTATGATATCGCTACAAACAGAAAATTAGATAGTAAAATATTTTTTTTTGTACTAATATTTTCCAATATGTACAGTACGAGTATATATGTAAGTTTATATATATTGTGAATAGAATTGAATACCTCATTTATGAATGTCTATTTTGTTGCTAAGTAAATATAGTGTCTTATGTGAGACACCACATAAGTCTTCTGTTCCAGGTTCTCTGTAAGAAATTGACCGCCTTTTATTATTACTTTATTATTTACTGTTTTTCTTATAATGGTTCTTCCTTGTATACAATAAAGTTTAATAAACTTTAAAAAAATATATTTTATATTGCACACAACATATTACCCTCTAGTACCTAGTCACAGTCTACCATCAGAATTATTAGTATTGACAGGACATAATTTAAAAAATAAGTTCATCAAGTGGCTGTTAGAGCGTTGTTTTACTCTCCCAACGATTATTTCAATTATAAATAAAAAGAAACTAATAACAATTGTAATGATGTTAATAATTATAATAATATTAATCTTTAATTTGTGAATATCAAATAAGATAATAGTTATATTGTATTATTGTAGGTAATTGTTAGGTTGAATAATTAAAATTTGCATGTCTACTTAGAAAAGGCATATTACAGTGCTCCCTGCTAATGGCACTATTGTTTAATTTTTATGTCTACATCTGTCTGTAATGCAAATAAATACCTAATATACTTTATTATTATTATTATCATTCAGAACTTTAAGTGCCAACCCTACAGTCGAGCCGCATGGTTGATTCAACACGCAGCTAGGGGCTTGTACAAGTTCTGAGGTATAATCGTAGTAAGATTGCTTTGTAACTCCAGTCAAGGGTGGTTGGTTGCTCTGGTGGCATAATACTGCAATAATTCTCCCAGCATTGTTCGTGTTCAGTTTAATTTCGGTGTTCAATGATTTCTTGATGTTCTAAACATTAAAATAAATTATATCCATAATTATAATGGGGTATAAATATTTTTTGATTTGTCTGGTTATCTTGTTGATTAAATGTTTTGTTTTGCAACACACAAGTTTCCTGCTCCTTCTTCTTGTGATGAGTCTGCATTCCGAATGAGCGGTAGAATAAAAATGTAACCAGTGCTTCTATTAAGTTTATTTGAATAAAGATTATTTCTATTTCTATTTATAGAAATAAATTCCAGTACAATATATAATTAATAAATTTAATATTAATATATTTTGATATATGTTCATTCTTACCAATATATATGTATACTAATAACTTAGTATTAATAAAAATATACAAAAAATTGGTTAGTTAAAAATATAGTCTAGTAGCATCGTTACCATTACCATTATCAAAATTGCCAGAACTGTTTTCTTTATAGAACATTAAAAAATTTTTGCTTTTCACTATTTATTTAAGTACATCACATCTATTTATATATAAAGAATATCTGAATAAGATATTGCTATAAAAAATAAGTCATGTAAGTATATCAAATAATAAATATATATAAATGAACTTAAATTATCTGAAGATTTGTATATATAAGTCTTCACATAATTTCATTTGATATTGATTGTAGACATTATTTTCTTTATCTGATCACATAATATAACAAAAGCAATGTAGTCCAATATCCAAATTGATTCCATCTTAATAAAAACATAATAAAATCATATTATATTTGGACGGAGTAAACCCGGCCATCTTCATCAAAGAGAAATCCTACAATTTCTCTATTACGTTAACAAATGGATGATTTGTAATGGCGTTTACTGAAGTGTATTAGACTTTGTTTGGTTTTCAGTGTTATAATATTATTAGGTTATATATATGACATAGTTTAATAAATGGTTTAGAACTGTGTCTTCCTTCTAATGGTTGTAGTCGATTTCTTCAGTTTGTTTGCCATTTAAGGTACATAAAAAAATTACCAACAACACCGATATAACTATGATAGTTATTAGTGTAATATTGTTGCATTATTTCATATATATTTATATAGTTATTTTTATCTTGTAACTAGCTACTCGCCCCGGCTTCGCACGGGCCTATTTATATTATATATATAAATCTTCCTTTTGAATCACTCTATCTATTAAAAACACCGCTTATAATCCTTTGCATAGTTTAACAGACTTAAGCATACATAGGGACGGATAGACAGCGACTGTATTTTATACTACGTAATGATATGGGTGTAGATTCAATATCGGTTGGAATTTGATCACCATTAAAGAAGGTCTTATTGGTTGTCAAGTTTCCGCACTGAACATTAGTGGTCTCACATGACTACGATGTTCAGTGCTGAAATGCTATCATGTAATATAAATATAATCCATTAAGTAGTGAAATGGACTTTCGCAAAATAACACCTAGGTAATTCGATAAAATATATCTTATAAATGTATTTATATTTGCTATGCATTCACTAAGTAGGTCACAACGCTATTGTATGCTAGAGGTATGATTTTGTCCATTAACCCAGCGTATGTATAAATAATTCGTTAAATAACTTCATTTTCACTGAATACGAAGTTTTTTAACGAATATTCACGTCTGCTTTAATAACATATTATTATATTAATAGCTGACCCCGCAAACGTTGGTTTGCCATATAAATAAAAACCGCTATTAAAAAAATAGGGGTTAATGATAGACGGCTGAAAATGTATTTTTTATGGCACATTATAAAAAACTTGTACAAAAAAATTAAAAACCCTTATCACTTAGGGGTATGAAAAACAGATAGTAGCCAATTCTCAGTATATCATATAAAGTATAAATAAAAATCGGTCAAGCCGTTTCCGAGGAGTATGGTAACTAACATTTTGACACGAGAATTTTATATATATAAATTACGATCTGTTACCCGTGACTTCGTCAGCACAACATTCTTTATCGATGTACGTCACCACTCACCTACACCGCGTGTGTTTCTCTCCCTGCCAAAAATCTGGTAGGATCTGCCCTACTGGAGTAGCTTAAGATACACGTTTGACTATAGAACTTACAGTCAGGCTGAGATCTTTTAAAAGATTGTACAGAGATTTCGCTGGTATACGCTCCCACTTCAATTGCATATAAATTATAGCTATACGTAATATACGTATTTCATTTATATATAGATATCCGTAATTCATTTATTAGTTCGTAATATCTATTTATATTTATCGTATGGTCTTTAGGTATATTTATTTAGACATGGTACAGTGAACTCTACCAGTGTTACACGTTTAGTTATTTCGAATATTAGAACATAATATATTTTTAGCGTCTATATTGTTACCGCTATTATTTATGTTTGTGTTCGTCTGGTACGGGTAGCGACAGGTGGAGAAAAATGAAATAACGAGTCCAGTGGTGGTTATGTACAAATGTATATTCTTACGTTATTTACAATAACTGCAAGGTTTAATTATAATATATAAAACATATATTAAACGTATCAAAACAGAAGCGATTAGGTCCCAATCTGACAGGCTTGTTATTTTTTGTCTCACAACGTCGCTAGGCAACGGTGTTGCCGCGCGCTATCCGTAGAATCGCCACATATGAATAAAATAAATTTATCAGTTGTTTAAAGTCCATCATACAAGTTTTGCTTACTTTGAGAATAGATTGCGCTGTAGGAATAGTCCTGCTTCTAATAACAATTATGCTCAATTATTATTATTTATCAAATTGTATTAATACCAACTCGTACTTTATAATATTTGCCGTTACCTGCAAGAAAATAATAGGTATTATAATGTAAAAATTGAATTGTTATACTATAACATATTGAATTGTTATAATATGACAGCCTTGGTGGTCTAGTGGTTTAGCACACCGCTTTATTATCCGATGGTCGTGGGTTCGATTCCTCGCACGGTACAAACATTTGTATTCATGAGTATGATTGTTTGTATCGGTTTGGGTGTTTTCTATGTATAATATGTATTTATTTCCAAAAATGTATCCATGTATTTATATCAGTTGTCTAGTACCCATAACACAAGCTCTGCTTAGCTTGGGACTAGATGGCGCTGTGTGAAATGTCCTGAGATATTAATAATAATATATTATTATATATATATTTATAATATATTATTATAAAACGGTCAGCAAATTGAAATACTCTTGTGTACTACGGCTTCTACGGTTTCACGAAACGTTTCCTTCCGACATTTTTCCAACCAACTGACTGTAAAGAGTTTATAATATACAATTGCATTATTCGTTGCATTGCTTTGTGATATAGGTTTATTAAATCTGCTTTTTCTTAGTTATTATTATTTAGTTTGTTTATTTAAGCTTTGTATTAATAAAACCTGAATAAATTAAACAGGAATCTATTATCAGATAATGCTAAATGCTGTTTTTGTCGCCATTTGAACCTCTCCCCTCCGATCAATCCTCTGTTACGATAGCCTGAGCTGAGATTGAAAGCTGAGACCACTACCCTCATACTAAAGTAGTATTCGTCTTGCAGCAGTCAGCCTTCAGCCGCTCTATAAGACCTTCCGCGAGTTTTGAGTGCCCTTTGTACTCCCCCACACTTTCCTTTGGTAAAGGTCAGCTGCGGTCACAATTTCCCGAAAATAATATTAAAAAACTAGCTGGCCCGGCAAACGTTGTTTTGTCTTAAAATAAAAAAAAACATTAGGGGTGGACTACCCCTAACATTTAGGGGGATGAAAAATGATGAGATGTTGGCCGATTCTCAGACCTACTCAATACGCTCACAAAATTTCATGAGAATCGGTCATGCCGTTTCGGAGGAGTATGCGAACGAAAACTGTGACACGAGAATTTTATATATATGATAAATGTCAGATCCTCACTAGGTAACATATATTATATCCAATTTGATAAAATAACTTAATAACAAGAGCTCTGAAGTTTTCATTATATGATTATATTCTAATGCTCTTGAGCATGGCAACATAGATAGAATATTAAATTACTTTTATGTTAAAATAATACATTAATAGTGGCACAGAATATATGCATTGAAATATTGCTATTTTTTCACTTAGTCTACTTTTATATTAAGATAATAATCATAAAAATATCTGAATTGACAAACTCCTCCTTTTCTATATCGGCTAAATTAGCTTGACTCGCAAGAAACTTGAAATTCATAGAAATATTAAATTTTATATTTACCTCCAATAATTTCTGTCTGTCTAATGAAAACAAACCCATTCCGGTTAGAGCAACGAAATCGTGGGTTAACTGATTTTTCAGTCTCCTTATCTGAAAATAAAGACATCCTCAAAACTTTAATCCACCTACGTAAATAAAAGAAACGTATTTGTATCTTAGTCATCTATTCTTCTAAACCTTTTATCAGCATGTAATAAATCTTTGGTGAGGTCTTTGGCTACTGAGGTCCCAAAATATGCATAAATAAAAAAAAGTTAAATACAGGGCGGTTAGCAACGCTATTGAGCTAACGAGTGCGATGCGTTATTCAAGTGATCATTAAAAAAGGTCATACAAGCCAAAGTAATGACGGTGTGAATTTTACAATCAATAAAGTATCACGAGTTTTATTTCCACCAACGGGAATTATTCGTCTCTTAAATTCCTAAAACGGCGAGTGGAGAGCATTAAAACCACCTGCACAGTTTATGACTTCAAACGTCATTACAAAATTGAAAGTAGAGCGAAAAGAGACCTTAATAAAGCCATTGCTAGTTGCTTAATAATGTCGACTGACGTTGTAAAAAGAAATAAAATTAATATCATGAATATAATTATAAAAAAATTAACGTATATTATAAAGAAATAGAGAGAGCAGGTTTTGTTAAGAGATCATCAAAGTAAACTCTGGAACTTCTGCACCAATTTGTGAAATTATTTTAATGTTTGAAAGGTTATAGAGTGATATAGATTATATATTATGTTAATATATACAAAACTCACAAAGTTATGAGCACCTGGGCTAAACTGCTGCAGGCCACTAACTATTAATACAATTAAAATAATATCGGTGAGCATTGAAGGATATTAAATTTTAGATTGTATTGTGAGTACTAACGTACGAACTGATAGAAATACATAATCTATATATAAAATACTCTGACCAAAACAAACAGACGTACTTAAGAATATAAATGTATGTAATGTGCGAGGATTCGAACCCGTAATCATCGAAAGTAAGGCAGTATGCTAAATCATTAGATCACCTAGGCCGTCAAACTAAATATTAGTAATAGTAGTAATAAAGTATTACAAGTTTTATTCTACCAATGGGAGTATTTGGTCTTTGAAATTGTGAAAATGTGATAATGTGACCTCAAAAATCATTACAAAACTGAAGTAAGACCAAGGAGAGATCACTCGGTGATTGTTTAATAAAGTCATTTTTCACTACTTGTTTATTGTAATATAAAATACAACTGGCGTTGTAAAAAAATGATAAACTTTTATCGAAGATATACGCTGAATTACCAATGCACATTCTGAAGTAATTTAAATTGTCTTTTATTATGTAGAGTTAGCGAAAAGATGGTATATGGTCAACAAAATTCACAATTAAGTTAAGAATCATCATTATCATCACTGCGGTCTACTGCTGTACATAGGCCTCATCCAAAGTTCGTCACTGGACATGATCTTCATCCTGATGCATGTCGTCACTCCACCTAGCTGCGGGGCAGTTCTAAGCGGTTCACCATTTCAGGGTTGTACTCTAGAACACGTCTACTCCAACGACCTTACATACCGGTACGTAATAAAAATCTTATTATAGTACTTTAGTTAATAATAAATAAATAAATAACCCTGGACAATTAATACAGGGCTAACTAGTCTCCATGGTAAGCAGACTTTGTGTTAAGGGTAACTGATATAAATACTTACATAATTTTATCTGTAAATAAGTACATAATATATATAGAAAACACCAAAAACGACACAAACATTCATACTGATAAAATGTGTGCACCGTGTGAGGAATAGAAACCGTGACCATCTGAAGTAAAGCGGGGTGATACACCGCTAGACCATAGAGACCGACAGTCGTTTACACAATTTAGAACTTTGAAAATAATCACTGATATTTAGTATGCAATTTTTTACTAGTCTTATATCTTTAATTTTAATACAAGTAATAAATAATCCTCAAGTTAATTTACCCATTGGCCTTCGTACAAAGTGGACATTATTATTACCATTAAATTTGTACTAAATAAATCTATTTTTATAGCTTACACTCACAGTTCTAATAGATTAATTGCTGTATTAATAGCCATTAACGTCTAGAACAATAAGCTTTGTCAAATAGGTTGATTATTTAGTGAGAAATGGCGAGAGCAGCCATTATTCGTGCTCAATAGTGAACAACCCGTCTAGTGCCTAGTTTATACAACAATAGAATTTTAAGTGAGGCCATCGAACCACTTTTGTTTTTGTTTAGCCTATAAACTATTAACTTTTGTCGTAAATTCGTTCACTAGATACATAAAGTTTCAAGATTGGAGATGACATAAATATGAACTAGCCTTGCTCGGGACTTCGTTTGTATTGTTAGAGGATTTATTGTATAATACAGTTGTTAAAAATTATCATTTTAATGAGAATGCACTAAGAAAAATAACAACCTTGATTTTATAAACAAAGTAATTATTTCCCTTTAACTTCAGGTGGGCCGTGAGCTTGTTTAATGTTCCAGTTACTTAAATAAACCCAACCGTTATTTTGTTAATGAATAATGATTATTTTAACGGTGTTTATTTTATTAATAAATGTTATATTTATTTTATTGCATAAATAATACAGTAATAAAATAATTTAGTATATAATATAAGTAAAGACTTCTAGAAGAGAAGAGAGTCTTCTAGACTTATCTCTAGAAGAGGTATTATATAGAAGAGATCTCTTCCAGTCTATGCAAAACAGTGACATAGCTTGTATTGATTGGGTAAAAATTAGTGCAAAAGAACACAAAATCAAAACCTACTACATAAAAATACTATAATCATTACTTTATCAAAGAGTTCTTATGCGATTAGAAAATAAAAATTTCTAAAATCGAGTGTGATAGATTCAGGGACACTATTTATGATCGATATTATACATATGTATGTAGAGCTTACAAGTCCTTTATTAACGAGAGATAATGGAATGGCACATACTCCTAAAGATGTATGTGGGCGGGTCAACAATAGATAATAAATAATATAATGAGCATGAAATCAGGGGAGTTATTCCATCCTACCAAACCCCACTATAAACAATATCCTTGCCCTTGCAAAGAAGTCAATAATCCTTGTTTTTAAACTTTGATAATTTAATACACATTATTTATATTGTTAACAGGGTCTTAACACAAAACTGCTGACACCTACATTAACATCTCTGTTACTCCAGACAACTCGTGACCGCAGCTAGTGCAACCTAGTCAAAATATCAAGAGAGGTGAATACCTTTATTTACCGTAAAATTATTCGGGTAAAGACCGATTTAATAATGTGAATAAAGTCAGCAATAAAATGTAGTTTATTTAATATCACATACCTCAATGCTGTGTCCTGACTTTGAAAGATCATGCAGATATCTCAGAGCTTTCCTCGAATGAAGGTGGACGTCTGCTGCAGCGAGCACTACACTACAGGCTCTGAAGAGCAGCCAACCAAGTGACAGAAAGTAGTAGGTGCGGTTGATTAGCCCTTTTTCACCTTTACTGAATGAACAACGGGGAAATTTTATATTTGTGATAACTAAAAATAGATTTTATCCATGTAGTAGCTAGAATTTGTAGAATATAGATAGGCGATAATAGGTTTCATTTTCAGTTTCATCACTAGAGACTGGCAAGTAAGTAGCAGTAATAATAGAAATATATTTATTTATTTTTTGTAATTGTTATAAAGTTTTAAGTTTTTTGTATCTTTTATCGTATACTAGCGACTCGCCCCGGCTTCGTACGGGTGTGCATGTATTATAATAATAAACCATCCTCTGAAATCACTCTATCTATTAAAAAAAACCGCTTTAAAATCCGTTGCGTAGTTTTAAAGATTTAAGCATACATAGGGACGGACAAACAACGACTTTGTTTTGTACTATGTAATGAAGTTCATTTTGTATTAAGTTTATTGTAATTATGAGTATCGTATGTACCTTTGTGTGTGTATCGAATAAATACCTTTTCATTTCAAATATATTATCATAGTAATAATATCTATAATACTAAGGTATATGTAGTATGTAACAGATGGGCATTATGCTTGTTTGCCAACATCATAGTATAAAAAATGTAGTACATATATAAAGTTATTACTCAGCAAAAAATAGAATGCTGTATTTTATATTAATGATAATGGAGTGGTAATTTTGTCTATTTTAACAGTAAATATCGGAAGAGGATCAGTAGAAGATGAACTCAGTGCTGGTATTCCTGTAGCAAATTGCGATCAAGTCCTATAGCAGAAGTAGCAAAATGTTGATATTTTTTTTTTATTGTTTTTTTTTTATAAAAACTGCTTTTTTAAATAAAAATATTCTCTGTTCATTCTAATACCTCCAAGAACATATGTACAAAATTTCATGATGGTTGGTTCAGTAGTTTTTGAGTGAAAGCGTAACAAACTTTCATAATTACAATATTAGTAAGGATTTTTCCGTTATACCTAAAAAATGTAATATGAAATAGGTATGAAAAATAATTTTCTTACTTGATCCCAAGAAATAATTGCAAACAAATGAAGTAAAAATTATTGACATTGGACAGCAGCATGAGTGGGCCCAACTCTTTATCCACCATTCGTACGAGGGCTGCTTGCTGTACGTATTCCTCTCGAAGTCTCCGCCATTCCTGCATTTGGCTGTTTATTTCTGATATAAACTGTAGTCATAGACAGATTATCTTTAGATATTATTATACTTATCTTTATTATTATGTAACTGTTACATTTTACCCTGTGGTTTTATGCGCCGCTTCTCCAAACCTAACACATACACAGTTACATTTTTTCAACAGATTTAGGAAAAGCTAAACGTTTTTATGTGAATTGATTTTGATGGCCCGGTTTGTATGAACCGATCTTTTCCTGGTTTAAACACTCTAATTTGTTTCTTTCTGCTTGGAGTAGGGTCATAGACTGATGTTCAATAGCCTATAGGTAACATTAAATTGAACTATCAAATCTAAAAAGGTTTATAAAACTATGCGGTAATTCCAGAGCTACCAGAGTTTCCAGGCATTAGCTCGTTAAAACAAACAGATTCAGTTTTGTATAATACATGATCACGTTATCTGCTTACTCGTCCATTCATACGAAAGATACTTTATGAAATAAATTAACATTAACACAGAGTGTACAGTATACACTAATTAGACTTCAAAATAACAAAGGGAATTTATTCTAAACAATAAACTTCTAAATAAATTGCTATTTGTAGCGACCTTACCAGATGTTTAATTCGCGATTATGCTTAAACTGTTGAACGATTTTAAATGAGATTTAGTACAATATGGCAGATCAACATATTACAAATACTCATATTGATCTGTTTGTTACAGAACTGAAACGATAATCAATTCAGAAATACAATGTTTATCTTTTTTAACACTTCTGGAAGAGGCGAAATCATAAATTATACAGCCATATCTTGTTTTTTTATTGATTTTGCATTTTTTGTATGCATTTTATACAATAGATATATACAGGCTATAGTGTTACTGATCTTAGTAACTGACAATAGCCCAAACCCCTAATAAAAAAAATACATTTTATTTTTTTACTTATGATGATATCGCATCTTTCGATTATATATTTTTTAATTTTATGACATATGCCTAAGAACCTACCTTATTTTCCTTCCGGCTGCGTTGAACTAGGTTTTTAACATACAAATTCAAGCGATGGTATCTCGACGTCAAGCCCATGCTTAGCAATATAATGATAAGATCTTGGAAGTTCCACAGAATGGTCGCAGATTTACTGAGTATAAACACTGGAATTGCTATCCATAAAGTGTAGTCATCTGTAGAAGGAATTATAGTAGGTTGACAACTTTCATGGTCAATTCTGGTAACATTTATGTTGTACTTAATTTCAGTTTTATTACGATTGTTAAATATTTATCTATCTTTACGGGATATTCTATATGATGTAGGCAGATGAAACCATGTATCAAAGACCTCAAATTGAATTTGTTAATCTGTTTGTAGTAAAACGAAATTTCGTAATACGACGTGTCCAAAAGTACATCAGGCAGGTTTTAATGTAAGGGAAATAAAGAGCACTAAGATTTAAATAGTATGATGGAAGATCGTAGAAAGTAGCAAGAGCTCCACCAACAAAAGTGTCGCTAATGGCCACTAATATATATGTCTGTCCTAATTTAAAATCAAAATATATTTATTCATGTAGGTCTATTACATACTCTTATGATGAGTATTATAAAAAAGAAAAAATATATTTGTACGTTATAAAAAATATATTTGATATCTAATATTATACTTGTCCTAATAAAAACCACGACTGCGAACCAGATACTTCTATTGTATAAGTCGCAAGTTCGGCCGCACATGGAGTACTGCTCTCATCTTTGGGCAGGAGCACCTGGATACCAGCTCGGTCCTTTTGACTCGGTTCAGAGACGTGCTATGAGAATTGTCGATGATCCCAATCTCTCTAACGGTATCGAACCACTTAGCTTGAGGCGAGACTTCGCATCGCTTTGTGTGTTCTACCGAATATACAATGGACTGTGTTCTGATGAATTGTTTGACATGATGCCTACGGCTACCTTTTACCATCGCACCGCTCGCCATCGACAGGGAATTCATCCCCACACGCTGGAACCTAAGTGGTCTCGTACAGTGCGGTTTCAGAGGAGCTTTCTCCCGCGTACACTTAGATTGTGGAATGAACTACCTGCCGAGGTTTTCACGAGAGACTACAGCATGGGGGTTTTCAAGAAGGGTATATTAAGGTTTCTTAAGGGTCGGCAACGCGCATGTGACACCCCTGGTGTTTCAGGCGTCCATAGGCTACGGTAGCCGTTTACCATCAGATGGGCCGTATGCTTGTTTGCCACCTAAGTGGTATAAAAAAAAAAAAATAAAATAAAAAAAAATCACCTATATTTTATCATATAATAATACAGGCCGTATTCCATACGTAGAAATCATATTACTTATGTATCTACTATACCTTCAGTTAGTATTTAATATTAATATTGTTACAAAGAAAGAACTTGTCTTTGCAAGTCATTAATATTTAGAAAAAGCACTGAAGACGTTAACAACGTTTCTTTGTGACAAAGTGAAGCTTAAATCCGATTTTTTGCTTAAGTAATCTTGGATTAAAAGGTTGCTACGTTCCTATTATCGCTAGCAACTCATTTTAAATGCATAAATGGGTAGCTTGCAATTTTCCTGCAAGCTACCCAGTTACAATGTCATCCATTATAATCCGCGCATTGAAGCATTGAGTTGGTCACATGCATACAAATGTACACCGACTAAAAGGCACTCGTATGTCATTTACAAAGCCTCAATGTTAAAGTATAAAAAAAGATTTTATCGTATATTAGCTATTGCTGGCAGCTAAACGATAATTATGGGATTTGCTATTTTTATATGAAACCTTAACAATATCAGAATTTTAGAGAAATTGAGTAATTATACCAATTCTAAATTAGTCCACCACGACACAGACAGCCTGTTGTGGAGACTAGGACACTGCCAAAACCTATATGTACAATGGTACCTACGATGGTCGAAAATGAGGCTTTGAGCCGAATTTAACACCCCTAGCAGTGCCCTCAGACTAAAGTCGTATTCGTCAGGCGGGAGTTGGCTTTAAGCCGCTCCATAAGTCCTTCCGCGGGTTTGGTGTGCCATCTGCACTCGCCCCCTGTCGTTTGGTAAAGCTATAAAGGCTAGCTGCGGGCAACAGTATTTTTTTTTATTGGGTTGTTTGGGTTATTATCAGATGTTTGTAGTACCTGTAGCACTGCGACCTACATAGATCTATTGTGCTTGCCCTTTTTCAAAGCTACCTAGACCCGTCAGGGACAAGAATTGAAGGATATTCTTCTGCCAACAGTATTAGAATAGTTCGAAAACTGAAATATCTTGTACAGCTTAAATATTATATAAATTGTTTTAGCTATGTACATATACCTTTATATGCAAAGAAAGTAATTAATTATTGTTACCGTATAATGGAAAAAGCAAATACCTTGATCAAGTAAAAATCCATGAGAACTCAATATATATTTCTTGAAATAACTTTCAGGAGGTATTTGGAACCCTGTCGCCGACATCATACTTAACATGTGTTCAACTGCAAATAATGTTTTACAAATTATCAACCAGCTGTGATTTCGTCAATTTTTTTAGATAAAAGACTTTTTTTATGTATTATAATTAACAAGCTATCTATAAAGGACACTATAAAGATACAAAGTTGCGATATTTTATATTATCTAGATACTGTTATACACGTGAAAGTTTTTGACTAAAGATGGATAGTTGTATGGATGGATGTTTATTACTCTTTCAAGCAAAAACTACTGAACGGATTTTTATGAAACTTTACAGCAATATAACTTATACATCAAAATAATAACACATAAATTATATGCGGTTGAAACCGCGGGCACAGCTAGTATTTGATATAAATGTTGCTTGAGTCAGATAGTATTCTATAACTTACTGCAAGCACATAAACCAACAAGGTTCGTGACAAAGATAACTCTCCTTCGTATTTTAGGATCACATTCGATACGTAATGTGGATGTCGTCTCCATTTTCTCCCATCGCTTCGACATCCATTTCCACGAAGAAATCAATTTCCACGATAATATTAATGACAGTAATCCATTACAATAAAATATAGCGCCAGATAATCTGGCAGTTACACCACCTGCAAATTTTAAAAAATGTAATAAAAATATCACAAAGAGAGAGAGAGAGAGAGAGAGAGAGAGAAATGAACGTCTTAGCATTTCATGGATTCATTGCGCGGGATACAGGTCCAACGTGTGGCCGCACGTACAAACTCATAGGCAAACAGACAAAAATCCTAAAAATATAATGATGTTTAGAATTCCTATTTACAAAGTCTTTCTAGAACAAAGTTGCTAATAACAGTTTGTTCTTGTATGTATATACACAGCATACAGGCTAGTAAATACAGTCAAACCCTATTTGAAAGCAGCAGTTGAGTTTTTGACACCTCTTAATTGATGATGCCAAACGAACTGGATTTAAAAAAATAGGAACGAAAAATTAGCATATGACGTGTCTTAAAATATATTCATTTATATATATTATGCTGAAGAAATTCTCGATAGGACAGTGAAAAGGCGGAAAAACAGACATAACAGCGACTTTGCTTTATGTTATTTATGTACCATACTTTTGTGATATTAAAATATCAAGTAAGCTGACAGCCTACCTGATGGCACTTCGACTATAGGTAAGTTAATACTAAGTGTCATGCCTCCGTACCCTGTCTTTTCAATTGTTTCTCACCCTTCTATCGAAACACATGTTCTTACAAAGAAAGCTCTTAGCGACTGAAATAGGTAATACTGAGGGGGCCCCCGTCCCGTCGATGAACCCCGCCGTCAGGACTCGGATATTTGGTGGTAAAGGTATCTTGATGTTTTATGCACAAAGGACTCCGGCAGTACCCGTATTCTCCATGATAGAGCTCCCAAAGAAAACATAGGTAATATTGTATGTACTATTTTGCTAATCATCGGTGCTCAGACACACACCATTGTTCTCACTCGCCGTTCACAACTTAATGGTCGCATGACGCCAGCAGAGTGCGCTAGAGACGACATAATACTTCCTTCTCTTTCCCACGTATACTATACTGAGGTAATATGAATTTATATGAAAAAATAAAATTGATTAAATATTTAATAAATTGTATACGTACGTTCATCTTTGTTATCCACTAATCCAGCCAACGATATGATAACTTTCCATATTGCTGCGACTTCAATTGCAACTAGCATGCCCAATAAAATAATGGCCCATAAAAACGTTAACTTGTTTCCATATGTTGGTATACCGAACCATTTGGCTATAGTGAAGACATGTGTTAGAGTGTGTAGAAAGAGCTGGAAAAATATTTAATTATTCTAAGTTTCCTATTTTGAAAACAATTCTTATTTATTGAGTCTGAAATATGATATTATGCATAACCATGTTCACTTCGCACACACTTCTTTATTGTGTACAAAAACAAACAAGCTGACGGCCATCCGATGGTAAAAGGTAACCGTCGTATATACATAATATTAATAATAACTCAGGGCAATTGATACAGCGCCATCTAGTACCAAACGAAGCAAAGCTTATGTTACATAGATACATTTTTTTCTAAATAATATTATACACAGAAAATACCCAGACCGTTACAAACAATCATATTTATGAATAATGTTTGTACCGTGCGAGGAACTGAACCCGCGACAATCGAATATAAGGCAATGTACTAAACCGCTAGGCCACCTTTACAGTGAATGCATGGAATATTAAGAAGTTCGTCTCACTTTATTCTAATATTCAAATTTTTACATAGAGCGTTGATCTACCTCGATAAAATTAAAAAGATTCTATCCATATTAGTTGTTATAATATGTATATGTAAGAAATGCTTATCTACTAAAATTGTTTTCAAATTAATAAAAATCACTTACATCATTCTCTCTTGCAGACATTCTCGAACTGTTCTGTAAACTAGTTAGTTAACTAACTGAAACGCAATTTGTTTTTTTACAAATTATCTTAAACAACAAATGCATTTAAATGTACCTATTTTATTAAATAACAAATTCGTTTTTGTTACATACCTATGGCCAATATAAACATATAACTCTGTGTATTTTAAATTAAATACCTACTAAATTATTAAATTCAAGTATACGAGTATAACGATGTAGAGAAAAACAAATGGCGGGAAAAAAATTGGCGGTAAAAAGAAACAAATGGCGTGAAATGATAAGCCAATTGAGACCTGACTAGTCAACTTTTTTAAAGTCATGTAGTAATTTTAATTTAGAATTGCAAGACGAATGGATATAACTACATTTTAAGGTCAAAATTACTTTTGTCAGTATGGCTCTTGCCCATTGCCCGCACTATTTTATATATAGTTAAAAATCTTAAAAAATAAGCACTGACCAAGTAATGAATACGTTTTAAAAAAAATGGTAAACAAGGTTTTATTTGAACTTAAGTAAATTTATTACATATCCTGATGTAAGATCTATTTATGAACCTAAAACGAGCCAATATTTAAAAAAAGGTATAAAGACTGCATTGAATTAAAATAAAAATATCTTTTTATTCTACCGATGTACAACAAATACTATAAATATATGTTTTCAAAAACCTATTTTAAAAATGAACATTGTCATACAAAACCAGAAATGGTGTTACTGAAAGTCGACAGAATACATACCTCAGGGAAATTATATGATAAAATAGAAATCTTTGAAACAGTGGCCCGCGTTGAGTTTTTGATTTGAAAAATATTTACCACTTCTGTTTTGTTGTATATAATCAACAATTGCTTGTAAACATTTATTCGATATATTAGTATAATAATAGGGTTCACGCAAACTGGCCGATATATAAACAAGAATGGTATGTGTTGTATGTTAGTTGTAATAGATAAGATGATATTACCTAGTTATAATTTGAATTAGGTGCAAATTGAGTCAATATTTCAGGACAATAAAGAAATCTATATATTAATACGTGAAGTAAAAACTTTGTACCCCTTTTGAAATAGAGCATGAAATTTCGCATACTTATCGTTTATACAGAGAAGGAGTGTAGAATTAATGCATAAAAATACATTGTATCAATAAAAGAAATATTACCTACATACACTTAAATGTAGTTGACATACACACGCCTATATACTCCTTTGTTTATTGTTTAAGCCTGTGGTTAAATTTTGAAATAATCTTTGACATATAACCTTAATAATGTCCAGACTTATAATTTTAATTAATTATGGTCCAAGGTGACCTCTAGTTACACAAAATTTGTGTAAAAATTGTACAAATCAAGATGTTGTTTGTAAATATGTTATTACCGTTAATGTAACTATACATTAACAACATAAAACGATTTTATTGGAGCTATACTAAACCCCATGATAAATCTAATTAAAATTCTTTCATAAACAAAAAATGAAGCATCAGAGATTATATAGAAAAGAGGATTACAGAATAATTCATATATTAGAATATACGTTCTATTTATTAACATGTATGTGATAACAAAGAGCAGTCGAGCGTACTTAATATAAAACTAATCTGAATATAAGTTATACATAAATGAAGAGAAATATTTATATATTTTAAACTATCAACATTTGCTTCTTCCTTATCCCATTTATTTAGGGTTGGCGTACTATGTTTTCTCTTCGATTGATCACTGTTCGTAGTGTTCTCGTTATTTACTCACTTTCTTACCATATCATCTTTCACACAGTCCATTCAACTCTTTTTCGGCCTTCCTCTGGCCATATAAATATCATACATACATTCATATGTAGCACCTTCCTTAAAATATTTACTTCATTCCTTGGCATTACATTAAACTATATTTATTACCTATTTGTAATTATATTTTTTTTAGTTCAAATAATAAATAAATTATTCACAGCAGTAAAGACGGGTAAACACATAGTACAAGGGGAATCATAAAAGTTTGTAATTGTACCAAATTAGGGTGGATCAGTTGAGTGCGCACTAAAAATTAAGTTGTAAAATATTGTTATTACACCGTCAGGTGTTAAATTATCATGGACTTATTTTTATAGACTTTTTCATATCCAACATATGTATATAGAAATATAACATACATATATTTCTATACTGTACTGTCATACGAAATTATCTGCAGTCCCTTACGTATTATAGTCATCATCATCATCATCATCATTTCAGCCCGGAAGACGTCCACTGGTGAACAAAAACCTCCGCCAAAAATCTTCCGTGTAGTTATGCTGTTATTATATTTTCATATAAAAAATACTTAACAAATACAACATTTAAGTACCTAAACAAATACCTATTTACTTGTAGTCTAGAATTGTACTATGAAATAATTTTCTTCTTTTTAGATAAATTAATGCTATCAAGACATAAATTGTTGAAATATATACGACGATATCGTGTATCTGTATTATTGTGACTCTGTAGCGATCGGGTATAGACTCTGTAATAGAGAATTCGGATAATTGACAGCACTTTATATAGGATTGACTGCTACTAGCTGTTACATTCGCTATGTGCGAGTGAAAATTCCATCAAAATCGGTCCAGCCGTTTCAGAAATTGTCAAGAACAAAAAGACAGGCAATTTATTTTTCATTAACTGTTTGATTGACGCCCGCGCCACTACTCATGTGTTGCCATTCTGAAGAACTATAATATTATCCTCCTATCCTGGAATTTCAATGTGAAAAATTAGGGATTTCTTGTACATTTGTTTAATATGGATTCAAATTACTTTACCTATTTTAAAGTTCTAGAAACCATTATAATATGATGTATTCAGGTACATTCATGACAATATGCTTTCTAATCTGATTCATATTATCTTCCACTAGTTCTACTATCCAGACAGTCAGCTTATAGCATACTAGCTGACATGCGCAACTTCGTCTGCGTTTCATTTCGCACCTTTTGCAATATTTTTCATTGTAGCTCCGCTCCTATTCATCATAGCATAATGTTATTATATAACATTATTGAGGTATAAGCTTATGGCCTTCCTCGATTAATGGACTCCAAAACAAAAAGAATTTTTAATTAGAACCAGTAGTTCCTGAGATTAGCGCGTTAATATAAACTCTTCAGCTTTATAATATTAGTAGATATAGGCAGAAGCACCATCATTACTTAAAATCCTATTAGTATGGTAGATAATTTTAATAGATTTAAATAAATTGTTGGAAATATATATATTCACTGTTCTATAAAGACCAATTATAGCATTCCACCATCATTTGTATATCAAAATTATGGTTCAAATATTTAAAAAATTTACTTTCAATCTAGTTTGCATACCAACCTATTACAATAATTCAATTTCCGGAAAAATTACAGCAATATAGTTGGCCAAATTATGTTTTCGTAAATCAAATTTTCCGAGGGATTGGCTATTTTAATTACACGTTATCTAATAACAATAGGGATCAAGCCTGTACCCTTTTCATCTGAGATATTAATCTCTGATGTTATTAAAGCATAAATTGGCACCCATCCTTTTACTGTTTTGGCGAACCGTACATTGTTTCAAGCAATTAATAAAATTACAATTTCAAGTAACCCCCTAAAGAGGAAAAAACCATAGATATAAAAAAAAAGATTACCTTGAAATGTCTTTTTTAAATATAATAATAATATATTTATTGCCATAAAAAGACACATAGACTGATACACCTAATTTTCCTACACGAATTGCTTTAAAAAATTAAAAATATATAAGAACCATAAATAACCAATGACAAAAACGCATCATAATTGATGATTAAACGAACTTACACAAGTAAAGTTCTATCATAATTATACGAAGTGCTTCGTCCGAAGAGATTAGTAACCTGTAAAGTAATAGAATATATGTAGTTACACGTAAGTGACACCACTTTGCACTGAAATGTGTAGGTATTAATGAATGAATAATTTTTTTCTTAATCATAATTAGATGTTACTATCCACAGTGCGGACGCAGAGATACGTCGTACATATATAACGCATAGTTATTGTTAAAATTACACCAATTTTGCACCACGGCTTAAATGTGCATGTAACTATAACCTGCTGCGATACCCGCATTTAATGTAAATGAACTTGGGCTAAGTTGGTCGCGAATAATGCAACTATCCATGGGTGAAAGAATTATTGAAACCAATGGTCGCTCAGTGGTCGGAAGTCGACCATAATTAATTTAAAAATCAGTGAGGTTATAGACAATAGACAAAAAGATATTATCATTTGAAAAAAAATATATAGAATAATATTTTATTGAATAATAATGCATTCTTTAACGATACCTGTGTCCATTGTTATATTGTTTGTGATTCGTCTTCACTGTATGTTGAAAATAAAGTATATTCTGTCTGTCTATCTTTTCTCCTTCTCTATATAAACTATAAGTAAGCAAAAACCCCAGATCGCTACATGTAGTTTTAACTATTTAACCTCTCCATAACCAAATCCATTCCATTCGGCCGGGTTCCCTAAAATATGGTCGAGTGCAGTGATGGCTGGCTCACGGATAAGCCAGCCATACTCGTGAACGAGTGCTGCTTGTAGGGACTGGTCTGCTCTTATCACTACGACTGATTTAATCTTATTGTATATTTATATTTGACCCAAATAAATTAGTGCTGGTTGGTAGTTTGTATTGACATGTAAATGTAAACTTACAAGGAACAAGGATTATTTAAAAGAGCAACACACAAGTTTCTTGCTCGTTCTTCTTGTAATGAGACAGCTTTCCGAAAGAGCGGTAGATAAATTGTTATGACTATTCAAAAGTGCTTAAATTAAGTTTATTTGAATAATTGATTCTATTATATTCTAATGAGGTTTTTTTTTATATTAAAATTTGAGCGCGTTTGACCGTAATCTCACCTGATGTTAAGTGATGATGTGGTCTAAGCTGTTACACGCAAGCTCAAATAATACCTATTCTCT